TTTCCATGCTTTCTCACTGAGATTTTAGGAGCTGTTAGTGTTTTTGTGTCCTGTTTTGGGCATCATTCTCCAAAAGGATGATTTTCAAAAGCAAAATCTGGTCCTCCTGTACAAGGAGACTATTTATTAGCTCAACCAGATATAAGAATTGCCTTCCAAGCACTGCTGGGGTGGCTGAGTCTTGAACAGCGCAGGAAGTCCACATTCTCACAGGAGCTTGGGAGGCTCTCTCTTCTCTTTTGTGGACACTTTCATGTGACCTGGTAGCTGGTGTTCCCCGCTGGGAACCTGTATGTCCTAACACACTTGCCTTGGTTGTTATTGTTGTTGCTGTTTAAATGGCTCCCGGGATGTGGACCAATAATTGAAACAATCTAAATGGGTACAGCCACTTGAATAAGTTGCAGTCCTCACCTCTTGTTTTGTTGACTGGTTGATTGGCAGGTTGCAGATTGCAGCACTGGGGGTGGAACCCAGGTCCCACATCTGCCAGGCAAGGCCTGGTGTCTCTGGAGATGCAGCTGCCATTTGCCATTCAAAGGACTGACAGAATGGCAGCAGATTGCAGTATCTGGATGCTAACATAGCACGAAGATACAAAGAACTCCCTTGACTACCCACAGACCCCTCTCCACTATTGTTCTTGAGTAGATGGGGAGTTGCGATGTTTAGCTGTGGCATGCGTTAGCAGATGTACTCATTTCTTGCATTGGTTTATTGTTCTATTCACCCATGAACTCAGCTTTCCTAGGCTGGCTTGAAATCCTGGAGCTAGGACAATCCTCCTGTCTTACCTTCCAGGGTGCTTGGATTATAGACACGCAATGCCACACCCAACCTGTCTCCTTAATTCAATCATCGTGTAGCCCAATAAACAGTTTAATCATCAGAATGCCTATGGAATCCTGGGAATCCTGAGTTAAATCAGACTTCTTCAAATGCTTCTCAGTCCAGCATATTGATTTTTCAATCAATAACTGAGGGAAGATTTGACCCATAAGGTGTCTCTATTTTGGCTTGTCATAATTTGAGAGAACAACATTACTGACATCTAGAGGTCAGTGGTCAGGGATGCTGGCCCACCGTCCTCCACAACAAACCACCTCTGGCCTCAAATGTTAAGGTTCTGAGGGTCAGACATTAGCTCTACTGGAGAAGGCACACTAGAGCAAAGGGTAAAATATGGAGGAAAGATGTGTGTGAATACGCAGAGGTACGTGCGTGTGTGTGCGTGTGTGTGTGGGGGGGGGTGTAGCAAGCATGGTGAAGGCTTCAGGGAAAAGAGATTCCTAATCATGGTCTTTGAATACAAGCATCAAATAATGACTTGCATTAGTCACCAAGGATATTTTCTCTTTTTGCATAGTTCTCTGGGTAATTAATCAAGAATTTCTGGTGACCTTCCATCTTCCTTTAAAACGGCTTATTACTATTATTGTTCCAAAGGGTCTGGAAGATGTAAGAAGAGGAAGAAGTCATTCAGCTTTGCGCTCTTCTTTCCAGCCAGGCCCCTGTAGTGGAACCTGGGGTTCTTGAACATGCTTCCTCCTTCTTTCAGCTTTCTCGCCTTTGGTCCACAAAGCCTTCCTCCGCAGTACTCAGTCCCACACGATTCACTGGAACGCTGAGTTTCTTAGAGCCTTGTGTAGCCTTTCTCTCCTCTTACAGGAGTCTCCCCGGGAGAGACTCTCCCTCCTCGAAACAGAGCCACACTCTCCACCTGTGCCTGCTTCACTGCACTGAGAGCTGTCTGTGCCCCATCCCCCTGGAGTGGTGGAGAGAGACACCTTTCCACCAAGGTGTCGCAAGATGCTCATCTGCCAGGCACACTGGGCTGGTGGGCCCTCATGCTTTCTCCTTACAGAGTCTCTGGGTTGTGCCACAAATGAACATCTAGAAACCCGATCTCTGTTTAGAAGGCACGATGTGCAAACGACAAATTGCCACAATTATTATTAGCATTTACTCACGGGTTTTCAGAAGCTGTTTCCATATCAAGCAGATCAACCTTTCTGTTGTCATAGAGACAAAGATCTCTATATAACTATGTGCAAGGTGAGATTTTTCCCCCCATTCCTCCTACCAGTTGCTTAGAGCTAATAAGAAGAAAGGAAAGGGAAAATTTTAAATTATTTTTCCCATTTACCCCTCCTCCCATTAAAACAAATGAAAATGTAGGAGGCTGCTTCTTGTGTCATAGTTTAGTTTTTAGACACTTGCATCTTTGATGAGAAATGGAAGGGGAGGAAAATTTGAGTAATTTGAACAATGACGTTTTGAAAAATTGCCAGCAGGCATTGTCAGTGATAAGCAATTATCACTCATGCACTCTTTGTTCTTTTCAAACTACACAGTGAACTTCATACAAAGATCTGAGAAGGCAACATTTTCAGCATCTGGAGTGACTAAAGCACAGATGTGTTTACCAAGGGACACTGATGGATTCCGAGACACGGCGAGGTGGTTCCCCTGGCCTTTAAACCGCCACAGTCTGGGCGCCCCCTTCCCTTTTGCAAAGCCTAACTTGCCTTCATATCCATGCCAGCCCACCGCTCCCTTCTGGAAGCCTTGCTTCAAAACACACTAGTGATGGGGATGCCAGCCTGTGTCTCTCCCTCCACTCTGCGTCAATATTGAGTTACACCTTTGCCCATACACCATCTTTCTTCAGCACACAGGGGACCCTTATCCTAAGACTGACCCCTCCCTTAAGTTTTTAGACCTTCGTTTCTCTCCTACTCCAGGTGAGAGCTCACATTAACAAATCCGTGTCCCCCCATCCCTGGTGTCTGCCGCCTGTCCTTCCTTATGGAATTCTTCCTCTATTCCTCTTTGAAGAAAAAGGAAACAAAACAAAACCTTCCATTGCCCTGATTGGTTTCTATCTGTCTTGGAGCTTTAAAATTTATGCTTTCTTCTTCCAATAAGTGGGCATATGCACAGAGGGGGTGATGGGGAAGGAACAAATATAGCTGGAGGAAGTTCCTGCCACCACGAAGAGCATGCTTGGAGTGTTCTCTGGGGGATTTCCCAGAGTTTCTGATTCACTACAGTGGGCCTGAGACCCAAGCCTATCCTTTGCAGGCTCAAGTTCACCTTCCTATTTTTTTTAAAGTAAGCATCTGTTTTTACATGGATGTTGAATTCTCCTTGTTCCTACAAAGGCTCTGCCTTCACAGAGCTCTTGCCTGGAAGGACAAGGTCATCTCTCAGTCAACTGGCCTTCAGGAAACATGGCCTTGTAAGAGTTGCCATGCTCTGTGTGGGGCTTTCCAAATGTCCAGGAGAGGATGCTCTCAGTGGTGGATGCAAAGGGAGGGCCTGCGGAGGATGCTGAGGATTCTCTAGGATCCCTCCCAAGCCTTCAGAACCATCTCCTTCTAGAGGACCAGAACTGCTCACTGTAAGTTTACTTAGCCACAGTGTGCAGGGCAACTATTTTGAAGGCTTGTTTCAACCACGCTGCAGGGCAGAGAAATTAGCATCTTGTGCTTTTACTTCAGCTTTCTTCAGGGAAGGTGTCTATCTGGGGGGTCCCCTCCTGAGGCAACATGTGAACAGCTTAGTATCAAAGAGGTTAGGATTTGGCTTATCTATTTCTTCTCCATCCTTCACTATAGGCAGTTTCCACCCAGCACCAAAGTTGGAGAAGTTGGAAGTAGTTTTTTAATTAAAGGAAAAGTAATTTTCTTAGGAAGACAGGCAACTGCAGAAAGGTAATTAATAAAGGCCCTCTTCCCAATGTAATAGCTGAAGCAAAGGATTCCATCTAGTTAGATCTCAGCATGGTCGTCTAAATGTACAAGCTAGGCATGTATGAAGGGCTGTTAGCGACTCGGCCACTTGTAAGAGCAATACAGGAGGACAAGGCCAGAACTTGGGAGGCAGGTTCCATGGATTTGTTGACTGATCGAAACAAATTCTATCAGCATGCTCATCACCTTTGGGAATAGAGCTGACAAGATAGTGAGTGGAAACTAATTAAGAGAAACCACTCAAACAGTAACTATTTCTCACAACCACAACTATTCCTAGAAGGCCATTAATTTGCCCACAGGGAGCAGACCAAGTGCTCAGAAAGGTAAATTCCCCCTAAGAAGCTGGCACCGACCGGCTACTGGCCTCCCGAGGGGGCTGCCAGGGTTTCCTATCATGTCTCTGTTTCAAATGGAGCCCGGGGAAGACCTCCACCACACTGGTGCATTTGTGGTACCTCCAACTTCCTTTGGTGGTTTTATTGGGATGAAAGTCATGTAATGTAAAATTCACCCATTTCAAGTGATGGTTCCTATGTGAAGCCATTACCACAACCCAAGTTTAGAAAACTTTTATCATCCCTAACCTTACAGCCTTTAGCAGACACCCACTCCCAGCCCCTGGGAACTACTAACCTACAAGCCTTCAGTCCACCTGATCATTTCCGTATTAGCAGGACCATGCAAGAGATTGGTATCTTAGCACTAATGACTCCCCCTTGTCTTTATCCCCTGACTTCAGAAAGGTGGCCTTCCTCGGTTGGTTCACTGATGTTTGCAAAGTCCCTTACTCATATGTGTGGGTAGCACCCCAGAAGCCAGCCTTTTCTTTCTCTGCGGAGCTGACCAGGCTGAGCCGAAAACACACTGCCACAGGCACTCATTAGCTCACCTGGTGGCTGGAGGCCAGATGGCCAGCACCCCTGCTGACCAATCAGGTCACCCCTGGACCTAAGGCTCAGAACCGCTCAGACTGCTCTGGCAGAGAACACTGGTTCAGGAGGGCTAACTGATTCGCCAGACCTTCAGGCAGAGACAAAAAGAGGCTTCCTGTGGCTTTGGGGCAGTTTTAAGTTACCTTCCTTAGTTTCCCCCTTGCGGAAAATGCAGGTCTGGGCTGTCCAGGAGTAGCAAAGGCGGACTCAAACTCTGGGTCCTAGGGTGAAATGCTACGTCCTGTTTTTCAACAAAGGGACCCGGTACTGAACAGCAAAAGGCAAGTGTCCTGGGGCACCATGTACTCACAGTCGGGCGAGGCCATCCCGAGGGCCGTAGCAGCGCAGGGCGCCGTCAGGGGTGCAGTCGCAGGGCTCCGGGCAGCGCGACCCCGGCAGCGGCGATGGCTTCAGCACCAGAATCGCCAGCGCCTGCATCAGTCTCAGCACCCGGGCCCGCAGCCCCATGGCCCGCCAGCCTGAGTGTGAGCTCCCAGCTGGGCTACCATCCTGGACCAACGTGTGTGTGTGGGGGACGCCCGCCCCCTCTGCCCGCCCCTCGGCCTGCCTTCCCACCCGCCGGAGCCCCCCCTCCGCCCACCCGCTCCAGCCCTCCCCTCTCACCGAGCCTCTGGCGAGTCCCTGATCTCCTTGACCTGGGACGGTGGCCAGCTACCCCATCGCTGTTTCTCTGTGACCCGTCCTCTATTTCTAGGACTGCAAATGAGCTGAAGGTCGGAAAGTGGAGTGACAGGTGGTAAGTGCTTCGAGGGAGAAGTAGGGTTTCTAAACTCCACCCTGCCGCGGGTGTTAAGTGGGGTGACCTATGGCACTTCGGAAACCCGTCTTGGTTCTATGAGATGGTCAGATGGTCGCTGTCCACATCCACACCCCGAAGAGGAGAGGGGCTGCTGTCCTGTGTCTCGCTCAGCTGCCAGCTCTGCTCCTCCATACTTAATCTTAAGAGTCTGCTCCCTCTCCCCTTCCCCAGTGACTCTCTCTGCTTCTCGTGGTCGTAACTGTTCTCCTCATAGCCTTTTGGGTCTGTTCTCTATCTCTCCTCTGCACCGTGAGAGCGAAATCCAATTCGGATTCACTTTGTATTCTTTCTGCACTTAATAAAGATTTGCTGTGTGAATGGGTGAGAAGCGACTGCATTATGCCAAGCACCTGACCTCCGTGGGTGTCCAATATACTTTAGCTTTTGTGACAGATGCCTTGAATCATGTCTAAGTGTCACATCAAATTTGCAGGGCATTTACTGCAAGAATTTAGTGTCCCTCGAGGCACACTATTTCTCTGAGCATTCAACTTACAGATGGAGGAATCACATTTGGACTCGTGTCTACCATTCACTGGTCTCTTACCAACATAAAACCCTTGGTGCATATTCTGTGACTCTACACCCTTGGCAAGAAGAGCTGAACTTACAGCAACCCTGGGAACGAACCACTTCCCCTCTACTATGCTCCTATGACTGTAGAAATGCTAGCAGTTTTTCTGGACGGGGTAGACTCAGAGCTGAGAAGGCCCCTGAAGCATTCAGAGTAGGAATCAGAAGGGCAGATCTCTCCAGAAGGCAGCTCTCAAGGGCGGCGTCCCCAGTCACTGGTTTGTAGTCTTTAGTGCTAGAGACTTCGGGAGGTCCTTCTGCTCTGTGACTTAGTCTTTAGTTTCTTCCTCTGTAGGAAAAAGTGTTGTTTTTTCCCCAAAGGGTCTTCCTTTTCCAAAATGCATGGACGTTGTGAGGAGTTCCCATGTTGTTGCTGTGTATGTGACCTGATAGCTTGTTCTAGGAATCAAATCCTGCTTTTATGAGGCTGTTTACATGGAAGAAAGTTTCACTGAAAAATTGCTGTCCATGATAATTTCAGTTGGATCTCATCACAGTCGATTCTTGCTATGCATCCATGATAACCAAATCGCATTGAATTGTTTGTTATGATCAAAAAAATTTGCTACAGTGGAAGTTGCCTTTCCCATTCATTAATATGTGACCTCCTTGGAGTGGGTAGTTTTAGAGCTGAGGGACTTCTGCCTTCTATAACTAGCTGTGTAGACACTTTCATCATAAAATGTCAAAACAGTATGATGCATAGAATGCCTGTTTACATTTTACTGACAAAATACTGTGGCTTGAAAAAAAATCCCAGGAAAACTCCCCAAAGTTTCTGAACAGAACTCACATTTTTAGGTTGTGAAACTGTCATTTACAAAGCTTAAAAACCAAAGATTCCCAAGGCTTCCCCCAAGAGATTCCAACTCAATAGATGTAAAGCTAGGGCCAGAAACCTGCATTTTGACAAGCTGCCCCACATAACTTGATAATGCATTGAGGGTTCCCAGAACAAAATTTGGGAAACCCCAAACCAAAAATCTAGAACTGAATTTGTCATGGGAAGCTCAAGAATCATTATTAACATCTGGATATGATAGCTGACGTCTGTCTGTACCTGGGAAACTGAGGCAGGAGGGTTGCTGAGAGTTCTGAGTCAGTGCGGGACTCAGAACAAGGTGAACAAACAGTAAGTAGTTCTCATTAAGGACTTTGAAGGAAGCCGGAGGACTTTGATATGTTGTTAAACCCAGTATTATAATGAACACACACAGGCATTAATGTATGCACTTAAGTGTTGAAGTTTATGTAGCATGTTGCATTGGTGAGGTTGTTCCTTCAGGGTTTTTGCTTTTGGAATGTCATGGGATCACAGAACCTGGTTTCTTTATGCCCCACTCAATTGAAACGGTAGCACTTGGGGATGGACTTCAGGGTTAGGGGCATTTGCAAAGCAATACTAATGTAAAGAAACTGAAGTTAGCACAGGCTAAATGTCCTGATTCTTGAGAACACACTCCGTTAGCACTGGGACCGATGCTCCTTCTGTAGGAAAAGCAATGGCTTTACTTTTCCCTTGGAAGAAAAAAATGAAAGCGTGGAACAGAGGCAAAAAAGGGAAGGCAAGGAGTGACAACGACAGTTCCACCCTGAGCTGGAGCAAAAGCCAACCAAACCAGGCAGAACAGACAGGTGGACGCCAAAAGTTGGGAATTTCATCTTGAAGTCACTCTCTGAAACCAGAGACGTGACCAGTTGACGCCACCTTCAGAGCCCATCTGAAGCTCTGTGGGCAGGAGAAGCCGCAGCTGCAGTCCACAGGTGCCTGGTCCCTGGTCATTGGATGGGTTCAATGTTGGGATGTAAGGGTTGGTCTAGAACATGAGATGCCTTCTCTGAAATTGATGGCAAGGAGGCTGGGAAGGGAGCCTGGCTTTTGGTCATGCAGCAAGGATGCGAACGGATTGGGTGCTGTTATTGGCCTTGCTTCAGGAAAAAAAAATCCTGTTTGCACTGCAAATGACTAAATCTTGCAGAGAATGGCAGAGAGAAGAAGCAGATGGGGCAGGCACACTTCATGAATCCAGTCAGACCATACTCCGTCTGCATTCTTGGGCTTCCGGGTAGTAAGCCAATACATTCACTGTTTCGCTTAAGCTAGTTGGGGCTGAATCTCTGTCATTTGCAACCTCAAATCCTTACCTCCCCATGAGCCTTGGCGTGGGCTTAAAGATCTACTTTGCCTACCTTTTGCAAGATGGGAGGGAAACAGAGTTTCTCAGTTCTCGTCTCTGCTGTGGGACTCATCCCCAGTGAATTGTCCTCTATCATCAGTATTTCTCATTAGGCCTCTGGGAGAGTGGGAGAGTGAATGAACGGGTGAATGAGTAAGCCAACAGAAAAGTAGCCCCGAGGATTATGTTATCCCATTTTAGGGGAGCCACATGTCTTTAAAAGACAATCTACCAAACATTCATTTACTTTCCCATAAGGCTTTCTGGCAAAACTGTGACCTGGATTTAGAACATAGGCTTCGAGTCAAAATGTTAGATAAACTCAACAAGGAAAGAAGAAAACTCGAAATGTCAATGAAAGACAACAGGGAAACGATTCGATTTTCATAAAAGTTGATGTAGAGTCAAAGTGTGGACCCTAGCGTATGGTTTTCTGCTTGCTAATTGACAGTATTTAGGGAAAAGGTGCCCAAACTCAAGAAATTTGGGAAATTTTAGTTTAAAAAGTTAAATAAGGTTCTTTACTGTGAGATTTCTGGGTTCTGGATATCTAAAATCACTTGAGCATCTGTAGAGGGAATGATGGTACTTCGAGACCATGGAAGAATTGATTTGAGAATGAACTGAGACAAGGGATTAGTTCAGAACTTTTTAAAAACACCTTGATTTTAGGCCAAGAACTCTTCTACTGGCCTAGAAAGGTGTCTGCCTAAGCACCATGTGGTACCAGTGCGTGGACATAGTGCCGGCAGGAGGACTCTTGGGCCCCATCTTCCTTCCATTCCTCAAGGTTGACATATTCCTTCATTGTGTAATGCTTCAGCTTGCCCTTGCCAGGCTCCTTTTCGAAAAAGTAAAATGCACCTCAGAGCTGGTGCATTTGGAGCCAATAACATTTTCATGTGAATGATCTGCTTTTGGAGGATCTACCAATTCCGGGAGGCACTGGAGTTGGTCCCTGGAAGAAAGGAACCATCTTTACAAGCTTGATCTCATTACTGAGCCATTAGAAGGCTCTACTTATAGCATGCTCAGATGGATTGAGAACAAACTTTGGGGGAAGTGGAAAAACCTTTGTTTCTCCTGTCTGTTGGTCAGGATGCGGCAGCCCCCCTTTCTCTCGCCCTCTTCTTCTCATCCTCTTAGGGACTGCACACTTCATGTCAGCACTATCAGAGACGTCCTGTCTCTCTGCCTGCTGTTGCTAAAGTCCATCACTTTGAGTTATATTTTCTGGACATCTTGTGCAGTGTAGACAAAGGGGCCCCTGGTTTCCTGGGGGCTTGCAAGGCTCTTTATCAAAAGGGGGACCCATCAATGAGTTGAGAATAGCACATGGTACTGTGACCAGGGATGCTGTGTGGCGAGGCAGAGCTAAGGTGACCTGTGCCTGGGAAGAAAACTAGGTGGCAGCATATGAACTGCACTGATCAGAGCAGATGAAATGCTGAAATGAATGGGAGGTACTTTAGAATCCATCCATGGTCCCCATCAGTAAGGAACTTGAGACTTCACCCATGGTCCTCATCAGTAAGACTCTCGGGACTTTATCCATGGTCCTCATCACCCATGGTCCCCATCAGCAAGGAGCTTGAGACTTTATCCTTGGTCCTCATAAGTAAGGAACTTGAGACTTCATTCAAGGTCCTCATCAGTAAGGAACTTGAGACTTCATTCATGGTCCATATCAGTAAGGAACTTGAGACTTCATCTATGGTCCTCATCAGTAAGGAACTTGAGACTTCATCTATGGTCCTCATCAGTGAGACTTCACCCATGGTCTTCATCAGCCTTTTACAATCTCTGTGGGCAGTTCCTTGAGTTCTTGAGTTGGGGGTAACCACTGTGGAGAACCTATATCTGGACATTTGACATCTACTTAGGAAACGTACACCCTAAATGTCTCAGGTGACTTTTGT